TAGAAATATATCAAAAAAAAATTTTTTTTAATAAATATATTCTATAAATCTTCAAATATTAAATATATTTATTTAATTGCAAATTAATATATAAAATTTTGTGTAATTATATTTTAATTCAAATGTATCAAGTTGGTATATTATGCTTAATAAGATGACCAATAATCGATTTATATTCAAATTTTGATATATATCAGTTTATTAATATATATTGATTTTGATATATATTAATATATAACTACCTTGCCAATATATATTGTTATATTCTAATTAATTAATATTGATTATTTGATATATATTGATTAGTATCTATCTAAAAAATTTTCTGATAAAAGCTATAATTGCTAAGAGAAACTAATAAAATCTGAACAACTAATAAGTTCATATATCTAATAATAGACAAAATATAAGCAAAAAGTTTATTTAACAAATTAGACCATAATACAAGTTTTCACTTTTACTACCTCTATATTATGACAGCAAACCCAACAGACAAATTAGATCTATCAGAGAACCTACAAAAAATAACACAATACAACCTAACACTTCCAATAACAATATCTAAAGAGCTAGTAATAACAGCAAGACTACTGAAAGGAATTTATTACTTTTATAGAATTTCAATAATATGGATCTAGATAAATCAACAAACAAACAAACACAATCTGAAATAATAATTACGAATATACAAAGCAAGCCTAACATTCTTCAGATCCTAATAAAACTGCAAAAAAAGCTAGAAAAGATTACAAATTCCATATATATTAATATACCAATAAATTAACAAAAAGATATTACAAACACTCTGACAATCCTATGAGAGCACTTTCATATTGAAACAATATCCAATTATTTATTACAATTATCACCACTCCTAGAACCAAACTAAAATATTTTTATATAAATTTAATGCTAATACAACTAAATACAACAAAAATAAATAACCTAAACAAAATATCAACTAAATATCAAAACAATTACAACATATTAAAAAATATAAAAAATCTTAATACACAATATTCAAGATACAAATAACAAACTAAAGATGCAAACATAGTTAGAATTCTGTTATGAAAATAACTATAATATAGTCAACATAACTGAAACAAAGCTTACAAAATCAACTTATACAAAATTCAAACTATTAAACCTCTATTATGATATATATACATCAAACAGTACTAGTGAAGTAGCAAAAAAACAAGAATCAAGCATAAATACATTAATAACAGTATTTAAGTTTTTTCAATTATACATATATAATATTCAAACACTATTAGACATAGCAATTGCAATTAACTTTTTCTTTTTACAAAATTAAAGTAATATCTGTTTATTTACTCTCTAACAACAAAAAGCTAAACCAAAGCATATAACAAGAAATTGCTACATGGACTACTTACAGCTATACATATAACTACAGTACTATAGTTCTTGGTGACTTCAACTATGATAGACAAAAATACAAAACTCAGCTTACAATACAATTGTTTATAGCAATGCAAATTCAAGTTATGAACAGTCTTCTAAAATATTTCAATACAAAATCATCTATCTAAATAAGAGGACTACTACAAAGCCAAATAGATAATATATGGATATTTAGCATATTGCTACTAAATATAACTCAATCTGAAATAATTAGTGCAGAGCTTATAACAAACAGTAATTATAAAATAATTTTAATAACATGGCAACCTAATATAAATATTAAGAAATACAGACCTAAGTTAAAAAAAAGATCAATATTTTAATATAACAAATAAAACCTAATAATTAGATAAAATTTAAAAATAACATTAACAAGCATTTAAAACAACAAAAAAATAAACTTTCTCAAACAATCAGTACAGAAGAAGAACTAAACAAAAGCAACAGAAAGCAATTTATCAAGTCTGAAAAATAAAAAACAAAATTATTTATAAGCAAAAAATTAAAAACAATATAATTAAATAATACAACAACTTTACAACTAATATCACAAAAATAATAACCAGTATATTACAAAGACAAACTAACTTAGTACTTAACAATATCATACACTCTAACAAAGTTATAACTGAACTACAAGAAATTAAAAAAGAAATTAAAAAATATTTTGAAGAATGGATAAAAAGCAATTTTACAAATAACAACTACTAGAAAGAATGACAAAAACAATATCTATCACAAAAGAAAATAAATAAGTCATGATACAATATAATGTCAGACCTTATAACAGTACAAAAACTACAAATTAATCTACAAAAATTACCAAATGAAAAAGTCACTAGGCTACAACAAATATCCAATAAAATGCTAAAACATTTAGATAGCTATACCTTAAATTTATTACTAAAAATCTTTAATACATGTCTTATACTTAATATAATCTTCAAAATGTAAAAACAAAGCAATATCTACTTAATATCAAAAAATAAAAAATTCTTTGAAAAACTTAATAAAACATATCCAATTATATTAATTAAATATACATAGAAAATCTTTACTAAAACAATAACAAAAAGACTAAATATAATTTTTAATAAAGGACGAATCTAATTGTAACAACTTGTTACGTGCTTATTTGTAACAACTCAATTAGTATGACCAATAAAAATAACTAAAACTTTGTGTAACCCAAACTCTAACTCTAACTACTATTGGCTAATCCGAGGTTGTTATATGTAACATGTTGTTACAAATATATAAATTATTTAATAAATATCTAATTCTACATTCTAGTAATCACATTGTAATTCTTAACATATCAACATAAACACTAATCATTACAATAGCATATATTTTAAAAAACACACAAATCCAAAATAAAGAACTATGATTACTTAGCCAAAATATGTTCAAGACCTATAATACAATTTACATTCTATTATTTAAAAAATACTAGAAAAAATAAATTTATTAAAAGTTATAACAAATCTGATTACAAACATTTTTACTGATAAGGCAAACTACATAATAACAAATTTTAGGTTAACAAAATCATATAATGTTGAAAACAGAATAGACCAAGATGAAACAATAGCATTACTTTTGTGATATATTTATTATAATCTATTGTTTACAACTATATATAATAATACAAAAGACTATTTACTCAATACAACATATAATGAGTAAGATAAAATAAAAAACCTGCAGACAAACATACCAGCATTAGCCTACATGAATGACACTATATGGATAACTTAATCCAAACAAAAACCACAATCAATTCTCAAAACTGCAAGTTCATTCTTTTTACTTATAAACATAAAAGTAAATTCAAACAAATTTGTGCTTGTATTAATTAATTCAACAACTAACAATCCAAACATAATGTATAATAATACAACAATTGAGTCAATACAACCAAAGAAGATCTTTCACTTTCTTGGATGTCAGTACAACACCTATAAGAATCATAAGCCAATTTACAAAATTATCAAAAAAGAAACTAACAATGCTATAAAGAGAATTAAAAATGCAAATATAACAGAAAAACAGATTATATACATCATTAATACTGTTATATTAACATAAATAGCATACAGAATTCAAAACACTTATTTGCCTACACAACTATATAAAGTGATCACAAACTATTATACAACAATAGTAAAACACAAAGCTGATCTTATATGAACAGTATCTAACTCAACACTATTTCATCATCAGATCTATAGTTTATGAACCGTCACAAATATTCAAATACAGCAACACATCTCACACATACATCGACAGCTCAATTATGCCAAACTAATAAAAAAATTATAAATTAAAAACTAAATAATTTAAATATTTTTTATAAATTTGTAAATTGATAAGAGAAAATATTTAATTAATATACATATAGTAAATTTGTTTTTAAAATTTAATATTATAGTATATATAATTCTAAAAGTAAAATATAAAATAACGTTCATTATATTTAATATTATTAATAAGCTTTTTAAATTATTTTATAAAATATAATATATCAGAAATAATGATATAACCTATACGTATTTTAAAATTAATAATTGTTGTAATTGAAGCTTAATTTAAAAATATAAACCTTACCAAAATCCATTTATACTTTTTTATTATCAAAACTAACCCTAAATACTAACTTAACTATTAAGAAAAAGGTAAAAAATAAATCTCAAGTTTTGAAATTTTCATAAAATTGTAGAAAAATTGGCCAACTTTGGAACCCACATTCTTTTTCATTTTATTTTTAACCATCATTAAAATTTTATAAAAAGAAGCTTCAAATGCTAGAGAATTTGCAAAATGATACCCAGAAATTATACCGACAACCTTTTTATTATTATATAAATTAAAAAAAAACATTCCTTACATATAAAATTTTGACGCATTAATCACTTGATCTTATATTAATAATTTTACATGTGATATATCGGGTGTCTGATATCATAACAATATAGATTTACCGATTATACCATTGGTCATTTTGATAGTCACATATTTTTATGCCAAAATTCAAGTTCCCGATATGTGTATGAGAAACCCGATAGGCCTCTGATTTATAATTCCCGATATGAAAAAACTTACTAAAATAATTTTATTTTACACAGTAACATGATTTTATGTACGTAGTAAATTTTCTTATTGGTCTTAATCTAAATGACAAGAATGTCATTACCACAAAGCGTGGCAAAGTCAATCTTAATGTGGTAACTCTAGTACTTTCAAGAATAAATATATTAAATAACTGGCCGAATTGAAAGATCGATTTATTTTTACATTATAATCGTAAAACTCATAAAATTACTGTTAATTTATAACATTCGTGATTCTTACTTCTTCGCCCTTTTCCTTATATATTAATATAATTATGTATTTACTTGAATAAGCTTAACTAAAATATCATTCTACGCATTTTAATTTAGCATAAAAAATTTATAGTCTTGGTACTTGAATTGACATAGTTTATGCATCATAGTTTGGTCCGACGCTAGGGATATAGTTAGGCAACTGTTTATGCATCACAGTTTGGTCCGACGCTAGGGATATAGTTAGGCAACTAATTTGGCACAATCTACTAGACCTGTCACAGACTTCGGACGTGCGTCCAGCTGCTCAATCAATTGATTGACTTTGTTATAAATAACGGCAACGAGTACTGCATTATTTTTTCGTAAAGTTTTGTTAACCTGCTCATTCCTCGGACGTGATGTACCTAAATTCAAATCATCAAAGCGTTTCTTTAAATCATTCATGTCATCAGATTGCTCGTCAACATGTGCTTGCTTCTTTGTTGGAGGTTTTTTCTCGGATTTAATTAGACCTGATTGTGCATTATTCTCTTCTAGTAAAACGGGGTTAAACCCATTAGGATTAGGATTATTGAGAAATATTTGGACGTTCTGAGGTGCTATTATATATGGTTGCGTAATACCATACACAGATGGTGTGAGGGCGGGATATACAAGTGCAGTTTCAATTGGAAGAGGATTTGAAATATCAAAAGAATTCACATAATTTAAAGCGCTCTGTTCTACAATTGAATTATCATTACTACGTAGTACGCTAATATTTCCAACATTTGGGTAAAGACTGCCATTGTCTTCCGTTTGAAGGAAAGGCACAGAATTTGGATAAATATTAGAGTCTACCAATCCTGAACCAAGATTGAATTCACTGTTCGCCATCTCACTGAATTCAATTTCTGTTAAAACTTGCTTCATGAAATCATTGACCATGACCAAATCGTTCTTCACAAAATTGAATGGATTAATATCTCCATTAAGAGCTTGGTTTAAATCTTCTAATTTATTTCTTAAATCTATAATAATAAAAATTTAAAGATATAATAGATTTTAAAGATGATAAATAATAAAATGAACGTACCATCACTATACTGTGGCTCTATTTTATTTCTTTTAACATCCTGAATGAAATCATCCATAACGTCTACACTACGCTTATGGCTATGTTTAGTAATATTAGTCGTAGATAATGGGAGATTGTTATTGAAATCATAATTGTCTAAATAAAGTGTATTAAGTGTATTTTGACCAAAGTCTGGATAATCAAGAATTTCTTGTCCAGGTAATTGTTGATATTTGCAAACTAAACGATAATAATATATAATAATATTTAATTTGTTATAAATTAATATATTAGCGTTAACATGCATTGCATGGAACTAAATCTCACCTAAGTCAGAAGTTTCACTTTCCGGTGAGGGAGGTAACTGTTGCGGAGAAGAAGTATATGAAGTATAAGAAGTTAAAGAATCGTCGATTGGAATTTGTGGAGGAGTGGGCGGTTGAATAGTTTTAGAATGTCTGTTATTTTTTCCTGAAATTGCAGCTCGGTGATCCTCAGAATGAATTTTTTCATGCTTTTTTAAATCTTGAGGTCGTTTGAAGGCCTTTTTACAATCCTATAAATGAGTAAGGTACATGTAGTTTAACAATTTAGGAAAACATTCATCGAAACTAATAGATTACTCACTTACCTTTATAGGACAAACATGTGGTTTCAATGGTACGTGAACTCTCAAATGACTAGTAATATGATCTCTCTTGCTTGTTTGAGCTTCACATTTGTCCCAATGACATTTAAGGCATAGATTTCCAGTAGATTTTCTTCCAACGTGATCGTTCGCCAAATGTTGGTAAAGTAATTCAGGATCTTCAAATTTGCGTTTGCATTGTTTCCACAGACAAACCATTTCTTCGTTTTTAGCAGAAGGTGGTGGCGTCAATGACATTGTCAAAAACTTAAAAAGTTTGGTAATAAAGAAAATTTAACTGTCAGCGGTTTATAAAAATATAATCAAAGCTAGTGTAAGGCTTCTTTTGGTAATAAAGAATGTGAGAAACTTTATCGTTGTGAAGTTCAAATCGTAATGATATATATATTTGATATTAGCCAAGAATTCTAAAAAAAAAAAATGGTGTGGTTCCTAATTATAGTTATTCCTTGGCAAACGTTTTACTTAAGTATATGGTGTACGCCAAGCATTTTGAATTGACTCAGGTTACCTTAATTGTTTCATCTTTCTGCCAAGTATGTCTAATTATACTAAAAAGGCAATAAAATCAATTATGATTTGACCAGAATTAATTACTGTAGCGGTAGGGATTTAAACTCCGGAAAATAATAATAACGATAACGTTAAACTTGTTAAATTGTCATTAATGTTAAGGTTAGCGTTTAGAATAAGGTTAGAGATTAAGCGATTACATAGTAAAATCGCTCAAAACTTTAAAGCATTAAAGATGGTTATTCCTTATAGTGGTTGGAACCGGTTTTAATCGGATTTAACATAAGAAAAAAAAAACCGGTTCCAAACTCTAATTCCTTATTCTTGCGATTTTTTGAAATTTCCTGATCGTGTTACGTTACACCTTTTCTTGAAATCTGATTTGTGGATCTGGGTTTTGCGCCACAATGATCGACAAATCGTGGCACAGATTTTATTCAAGAATACAATTTATGCAGCATGTAGATCATTATATGACTTAACGGACCCCCAAATAAAGCTACATTAGGATAAATATAGTATACTAATGCAGTAATGAAAAGAGCTAAAAGGGCCTATGTGAAAAATCATTTGGTTTTAAAAGCATAGGTTTAGGGCCAGGTCGATAAAATGACTTTTGTTAAATAACCAATTAATTGTTTCAAAAAAATGATAACAATGCAAGGAATATATATGCCTTAAAATGTTGGGCAAGATAGTTTTACAGTACACGTTTTAGATCAAAAAAAACATCGTTATTAATTCATTGAAAAAATAATAAAAAAACCCCCGAGTATACCGGGTGAAAAGTAACTGGTTTTGTTAACCTCTGATATGTGATATTAAAAATTCAAATATCGATATTCGTGGAGATAGCAAAAAAGAATTAATTAATCGGAACTAGAGATTGGAACTGGTTATCGTAATCGAATTTATAGCCGGGTATAACCGGTTATAAATTACAACTGGGTTATTAATCCAATTAATCGGTTTTATTATAACCGCCTTTAATCGATTAATCGGTTTTATTATAACCGGTTTCATCCGACGATCATCAAAGACAGTGCCCGATCTAAAGTGAATCCCTCTCGCCTGTGATCAATCACAAATTAAATTATTTATGTTGGATTCAATTGTGATGGATATAATCC